GGATATCGAATCTGATACACAATCAATACACAATAACGGAGCACATGACGTAGGGTTTACGTCACATTGACGGCCTGAACCTGTATAAATCTTGTCTTGTGTCTCTGTTATCATCCAGTTCCTTATCACGTGCACCCCCACCGATTCATCTACTATCGTGGGTATACCACTCGATAGACTGCCGATCAGATTTCGTCGACAGTGGCGCGCCAGGTAGGAGATGTGCGTGCTGATTCTGTGGCGAACCAGATAGGAATCTTTTCTTCAACCAACGTCGCCGGCAACTTAGCATTCGACGGCAACTCGACGCTAGCACGCAGCGGATCACTTTCCTCGGCGAACGACCGCACGTGTTGCCATGCGCCTTCAACAGACGCAACACACGACAACAAGATCGAAGTCCAGCAATCCAAGAAAGCTAAGTCAAGTCGCTTTCTAATTAAATATTGTTATTATACTGCTTCCAGATATATTCGTATGTCTGCATGATTTCGGTTGGGAGAAACCTAATCACATCTTATTGTTGCTCGTGATTTCTGATCGGATATGCAAGATCGTTTCTGTGGATCACGACAACCAGCAATCATGAAAGGCGGCCGGCGATAACGCGATGTGGAGCAGTGTTTCCACCATAGATGCTGGTCGGTCATACAAGCTAATTGGATTAGTTGAAGAGATATACAAGCACATATGCATTTGGATCTACACCACCATGTGGGCAACCTCGTGTATCTCAGGCATGCAAGGAAGATCTTAGATTGCGCCCACGCTCAAGGACTTCGCCTCCTCACGGAGATTGACTCCATCAGGCTCCGATTACTTCCGTTCGCCTATGACTCCGCGTACCCGTCCGAGCCGTCAAGCGAACCGCTAAGTGAGCCGACCGGATTACTCGTTCCGATCGCCTGCTGCGTCGCAATGGTCGCCGCGAAGAACGGCGTTATAACGACCACGACCGCCACCATGACGACAGGCTAGAAAGCTCGAGGGCTGGGCAATTTTGTCGACGCTGACCAGATAATGTAATACGCCACCGATCAGACGTTATGTCTAAAGATAAGTACCTTTTTATATATGAATATTTAATACAGTTTTTTGCCATAATATTTCTTCATGCTATTCTCTACATGATTATTCTTCAACCGACTTTTCTCCATGTATACCATCTTAAAGATGACATACGCATTCGCCTCAACGGCTCCCCAAACAGCCACGTTTACGCTTGTGCTCTCCAAAGACGACCCTGTCTCTGGCTTCTCCACACACGTGTACGAGCGCCTGCCCTCTGTGTTATGGATAGTTGGCAGCGACTCCTCGGTGATGCTTGTCTTCCTACATGTACATGAGCTCCAGCGCTCCGCGTTACGGTTTGCGAGCAAGCCGGGGCTAGGGGGCTCAACCAACGAACTAACGGCTCAGGGCAGTTTATATTAAATATAAACATATCCTCAAAAGAAAACTTAATGTTTACAATATATTTAAGATATTCTTCATCAACTCGCCAACCAGCCACGTTCTCACTTGCGTTACCAGAAACAACCCTGTTCTCAATCTCACTCCTACATGTGCACGAGCGCCAGCCTTCTGCGTTATGGGTGGTCGACAGTGGCTCCTCGGCGACGCATGTGCTCTTGCACGTAAACGGGTGCTAAGCACTCTACGCTATGGAGTATGGGTTAATTGGAGCTGGTGATGCAATACAGAGCTAACTGACAGGAAGTTACTCATATTTAAAATATGAACACTTCATACAAACATAATGTGTATCTATTCCGCTTTGCTGCCTTCATCGCCGAGTTCATATATTTATTTTTACATCATGTACTACTAATTCTGCATATTTATTATAGGATCATCGTCCCGGTGGTCACACCACCTGGCCTTCGGACTTCTCCGCCGATCAACTGGTCGGACCGCTAGATTCATAGACTTCGTCGCCGACCAGTTGGTCGGACTGTTCAGCGTTCACTTCTACTCGGCGCTCACTTCGCCACCGACCAGTTGGTTGGGCTACTCGGTGCTCGATTCTTCGCCAACTAACTGGTCGAATTGTCCGTCGTTTCATCATCAGCTATGCTGGGGGCTCGCCAGCTAAGCTAGGGGCTCCACAACGTTTGGATTGTTCGTCGCTTCATCGTCAGCCACGCTGGGGGCTCGTCAGCTAAGCTGGGGACTCCTCGGTATTCGGATTCTTCGTGCAAGAGTCACCAGTTAAGCTGGGGACTCCTTTGGCGGTCGGATCTTGCTACGTCTCATCGGTGTGCTATCAACTTGCTCCATTCTATTCGGATCAGGGTGTTGATCTTGGGTACCACGTCTGGGGTCTTGATATGCACATGATAGATGACAATGGCAAGCTTTCAGGCTTATTTTCTTTGACCCTGCTACAAGATTTATTTCTTCATCTTTCAGCAGGCTCGGAGACTAAGTGGCTATACTTCACCTGGCGGTGAATGTAGTGCTCTTTTCTTGATTTACCCCTCTTATTGACTAAGTCATGGATGATTCCTCGCAAACGGAGTCTAAGTGGCTACACTTCGTCTAGAGAATTTTTCAATTTAATCTTGAGCCCCTTACGTACTTCCGGCAAGTCTTACTGGGCTAAGTCCGAGATCGATTAACCTGTAAAACTGGTCGGCTCCTACTTTCACCGCTCAAGTCACCGGTTACACTGGTCGGCTACGACTTTCACCGTTCAGGTCACCGGTTTAATTGGTTAGCTTCGACTTTCACCGCCCAGATCACCAGTTTAATTGGTCGGCTTTGACTTTCACCGCCCAGGTCACTAGTTTAATAGGTTGGCTTCGATTTTCACCGTTCAGGTCGTCAGCAAAACTCATCGGTTTCGTGTTAAACTGCTCGGACTTGATCAAGACGACGTCGCCAAAGCGGATACAAGGCGCTCGGGAACTAGCTGTGGACGATATGACCCCTAGTATCCATAGGACAAGACATGAGCCGCACCATTAGAGGTGGCCCAGCCCACAAGATCAACGCGTGCACCGCAAGACTATATAAAGATGTGATTTATTATATAATACCAAATATGATATTTTTCTTATAACTCTGTCCCTCCAGAGTATATAAGGAGAGACAGGAGTCCCCTAAACAGGATATCGAATCTGATACACAATCAATACAAAATAACAAAGCTCAGGACGTTAGGTTTTACGTCATATTGACGGCCTGAACCGAACGTTGGGTTTTACGTCGTATTAACGGCATGAACCTATATAAATCTTGTGTCTTGTGTCTCTGTTACCATCCGATTCCTGATACGTACGTCCCACCGATTTATCTATTACTGTAGGTATACCCTCGGTAAACCGGCTAACCAGATTTCGTCGACGGGCGCTCTGCTCTGTGACACAATGGCCTGATCGCAGGCCCCCGTAGAAGCGTTCGGCATTTTCCCCCCTTGCTATGACCCGTGACATTACGGTCAAAACTGCGTTCTCCGAAGCTGCAGACTACTGTATGCCCATGCCTGACGTGATTGCTAGGCCTTGTTTAGATTTTAAGTTTTTTTACTCTCTCTATCATATAAAATTTTTAGGCACATGTACGGAGTATTAAATATAAATAAAAAAATAACTAATTACATAGTTTGATTATAAATTACGAGACGAATCTTTTGAGCCTAGTTAGACCATGATTGGACAATAATTATCAAATATAAAAGAAAATGGTACAGTGTCAAATACTGATTAATAACCGCGAACTAAATAAGCCCTAGGTGAACTTCGCTGAAAAGTGGAGCGCTGAAACAGTACCAGTAGAAGCTTCAAGGAGCAGCTAGAGAGAAGGCATGCACGGCATGTTTGGCAGTCGGAAGGTCGGGTAGGTGACTGAGTCTGAAACCGTGAAAGCCCGGGCACCATCGTGTCACGTCTTCCCGCAAAGGACTCAGTCTATAAGACTATAACGACACGTCAACATCACACGTCTATAACGACACGTGAGACTTGTGATTTGGGGGAACATGAACACGTCGCCGATGAACGAGTCATGCATGCATGGTCAAAGGACTCAGTCGGACTCGTCGGGTGCTGGAGCGGTGTACGAGTACGCTGTAAGGTGTGCTACCGTTCACACGTGACACGATGGTGCCCGGGCTTTCACGGTTTCAGTCACCTACCCGACCTTCCGACTGCCAAACATGCCGGCAGCATGCCTTCTCTCTAGCTGCTCCTTGAAGCTTCTACTGGTACTGCGACTTCGTGTTTTTCGCTTGACTTATCTTACTATACGTACGGCATACGTATGTTGACGTCAAAAGGTGGATTAGTGTTTTTTTATGTAGTCAAAAGGTAGTGTTGACACTAACAAACGAGCATTTATAGATGTCTAAAAAAAGAGCATGTTGGTCAATGATTTAAGAGTTAAATGCACCGAAGCTTCGAACTTATAAGAGCAGGTATAATAATAAGCTTATAGCCAAGCTAATGCTGATGTGGATGAGAGAAGAGAGGAGAGAGATGAGAGCTTGGCTCCCATGCAAGCACCAAGCTAGGCATGAAAGCATATGTATTAACGGGCAAGTGTTGTGAGGAGAAATAGGAGAGAGAGATTTTTTAGATAAATATGAGACCCTTATTGTATAACTTAGCTTTTATAACTTGTTTTATAGACAAGTAACTTGGCTTTATTATTGAGCTTCTCTAAACGTGTGTCATGTAGGTCGTGATCTTAAAAAATGTATTTCTAGCCTTTAAAATTGTTAAGTGGTACACTATAGATCTATGCTAGCCATTTTGACATTTTTTTACGTGGCATGCTAGAGTGACATGTATTTTTTATTTAACCCCTTATTTTTATTTTTTCTTCAAAAATAACACTTCCTTCTTCTCCTCACCTCCCATGGCCCCACGCTCGTCGGTCTCCTCTGGTGCTCGTATGGCGTCGGTGCGCTCCTCTTCCGGTGTCATCGGGCGTCTACTCCTGCGGCTCACAGCGCTCCTCCTCCGGCGTCGTCGTCAGGGAACGCTCCAGGTCCTCCGTCACCAGGCACCAGCGCGTCGATGTCGCCCACCACCCGGCAGTCCGCCAACCGGAAGCTCCGGACCCTTTTCCACACCTTCCCTAGCAGCGGTAGCCCCCGTTGTTAACGTTGCTCCTCCTGATGGCATCGCCGCCGTCGTCGTCGGTGCGTCCAGGCCGAGCAGCAGGTCCGCCTCCGCCAGCAGCTCCTGCGCCAGGTGGAACAACAGCTTCTGGTTCCACCGGTGTCGGAGGGGACCCAGCCGTGACTCGTCCGCGGGCAGCTCCAGCTCCAGGAGGTGGAAGACGATCGGGTCCACCGGCGTCCAGCGACGCCACGGAGTGGCACCACCCCGGCCGCCGAGCACCGTCCGCGCCGCGCTCCAGCACCATCCGCAGTAGCTCTGGGTCCTCCTCCAGTGGCGAGGAGGAAATGCGGGCGCGGGCGGCCGCCGCCGAGCAGCAGTCCGTCGGCGCAGACGCCGCAGGCTTCTTGATCCGCGTCGCGAAGCGCACGCACCCGTCCGGTTTCCTCGCTGGGTGGGCGGCGGGTCCAGCGGCGGACGAGACGGCTTAGCCCGCTGCGGAGGTGGAGGGGACGACGACTGCTGCCTCGTCGCCAACGGCGCCACCCTTGGGCTGTGATGCTCGGCGCTTGGCTTTGGGGCCATCGTCGTCGCCTTGGTAGTTTGCTGAACGACCAGGACAGGCAGCTTGGCGTCCTCCATGGCGTGAGCGTGAGCGGGAGATGCAGGACTACTCATCACGTTCTCCTTGTTGTTAAAGCAGCTCTGGCTCTTCTCCAACGCCGGCGACGAGGATGCGTTGTTCTTGCCAGACTTACGGCTGGCGACTGTCTCCTTGGCCTGGCGGAGATCTCACGCGCGTGCTCCTTGGCCGCCTTCTTGTCCCTGCGGCAGCGGCTGCAGCCAGCATCCTTCTTCTTCTTCTTGCCGGAAGAGGTAGCGGCGGACGACAAGGACGTGCGTGAGCTGGGCATGGACATGTAGGGCGTGATGGGTAGGTCGAATCGGGCCGTCCTCGTACCGTTTTAATGTTTGATCTCATTCAAGCGGTGCGTTTGGTTGCTCTCCTCGTATCCTCGTATTTTCGTCTGTATCTTTTCATTTATCTGTCTTTCTTCATCCCGTAAGACTTTGTCTTTTTAATTTCCACTTCTCTCTTCATATAGGATGGATTGATTCAGGCATGGTGCATGGACTCATGTGTCATACATTTAAAATTCTCATCTATACATACAACCAAACAAAATCTTATCTTATACTAGACCAACAACAAAAACAACCAAACACAACTGAGTGCATAATTTAACCATGTTTGTCAGCATCCTGGACCGGCTCTCCGTCCTGATCCCCCTCGCCAAAGCAACAATCACGCCCGTAGTGCGCAGGCGCGCAGCCTACTCGAGGACGTTGAGCGCCGACAGCCTGGGCCCATCCCACGACGCCCGCGCCGACGTGGACGCGCGCAGCGTGTCCAGCAACGACCGGGCCTCGGCACCGACGTTGCAGCTGAGGCTGCGCAGTAGCTCCCGCCGGTTCACGCATGGAATCGGGGATCACGCACTTCTCCAGACGCCAGCGGGGAGCAGCAGCTGCTGTTCTCCTTGCCCGTGGAGGTGGTTGATCTTCTGGCTGTGCTAGTGCCGGGCTCCATGGAGGTGAGAGAGAAGGGAGTTATTTTTTAAGAGAAATAAAATTGAGGGGCTAAATAAAAAACACAAACCGTTCTAGCGTGCCACATCAGTAAAATAAAATACCACATGACTAACATGGACCTGCGCTGTATCGTTTAACAAGTTTAAGGGCCCGGTTGCATTAAACTCATGATTTAACGAGCAACCTGTTTGTTTAGTCGTAAACAATTTTAAATTATAAGTTAAAATAATATTTTTCTCTTACATCAAATCAATCACGATCATTTAAACCGAAATGAACAGAAGACCGTTACCCGTCTCTACTGCAACTGCGAGTGCCAACATACGCTCCCGCAACATCACGAGCGCTGGCGCCCTGGCGCTCATTAACCCGCTTCGGCTTCGCCGCCCTGCCTCGGGCCGTCCGCCTCCGCGCGGGCACATCCCCCCCCCCCCCCCCCCCCACACACACACACGGGACCAGCATCCCCTGCTCTCCCAATCCACTCATCTCCTCACTAGAAGCTCAGCCGGGCGTCCCGCTCCGGCGTTTCCGCCACCTCCGTTGCCCTCAACTCTTCTCCTTCTTCCAGCGCTTCTCCTGCGTGCTGCTCGCCGCCTTGCCGCAGCCGTCAACCAGCCCGAACAGCAGCCTGCCTTGAGCTGGCCCTGCAGTAGGCGACGCAGGCAGCCCCTTGCTCCTTTCCCACTTCTTTTCCCAATTCGTCAAGGTGAATCGGAAATGTCCACAATCTCGCCAAGCGGATTGATTTATTCTTAGAATTTCAGCAGTCGATGTCCTGTTAATTCTTGGTGAACTTCTTGCAGTTTTGGGCGGTGGGACGCATGCATAATGGAATGTACTATTCAGGCGTTCCTTTGTGAGAGCGTGGTGGCATGATCAATTGTTTATGCTAAGACTCTTCTTTCCGAAGGTACCTATCTTCCACCTACTACCAACTGCTATGACTTCAGCTGGGAGATTTGAAACGTTGTTACCACCAATGATTTTTGTCAAACCGTTTGAATTGTATCATGCCACTATCATGATGATCTCTGTCTCTGCTGAACCTGGCTTTGCAGATTCTTTTTGCCATCTCATTGTGTTTTCATGGCCATAGACTTTTTTGCAAACTACTCCTACATAATCTTTTTTACTCATATCGTACTCAATACATATGTGGCTTGAATGTGTTTTCTGATATCTGCGTTATCGGTGTCATTGTCAAATTCAGTTAGTACTTTGTTACCTTTCATTGTTTCTATTTACTACTCTTGCAAAATATTGTACTAGAGATAATTTTTGTACCTTTTTCGGCATGACTGATATCATCCTTCAAGTGAATATAACTACTGCAAAATTACCCACTTAAGTCTTGTACAGCTATCTCGTCGGTGCTAATAGACTGTCACAGACAGTTCTAGCTTCAAACTCCATCAGTTACAAATTTTTATACATGGTTCAAAAACCGTTTGTGGTAACACTGACCCTAAATATTGATCTGTCGTGATGGCTCCAAAACCATTTTTATGACAGTTCTGAACCATCATTGATGATTGCTTACTTCTTTAACGAAAGATAATGGTTCAGTCATTGTCAAAAAAGAAGAAGAAGAAGATAGTAAGATTTCCTCTTCTACACTACACGTTGATGTGACCTAATTATCCCTTTATCAGGAGTAATGAGGTGATGGTTCCTTGAAGAATTCAGTAAGCCACTGAATCGCAATTGGTTCGTCAGGAAAAGCAACAAAGTAATGCCGACAATGTTAATCTTGCATCCATATTTACTGCTAGTGGCATTAACAGCTTTCAGTTCTACTCCTGAGGCTGAGAGCACCTCTGGATGCCCAGACAGCTGTGGAGGCATAGCCATCCAATATCCATTTGGCATTGGTGCGGGCTGCTTCCGTGAGGGCTTCGAGCTCATCTGTGACCGCAGTCTGGACAGGCCGGTGCTTGCTGGCACCACGAAACCCGTTCCACTCAACCACCTCTCCATCAGGACGGCAGAGGCCCGTGTGATGCTGCCTGTCGCGTGGCAGTGCTTTAACTCTTCGGACTCGGTGTATGCCTGGAGCGATGGCGATGTGCAGTTCAACTGTGAAGAGGTGTACCGTATCTCCAACGCCAACAACCAGCTTGTTGTCATAGGCTGCAACACCCTGGGTTACACTCAGAGCCAGCGGAGCGAGGGCAATGACTACGACTATGGATACTACACTGGCTGCATGTCTTACTGCAACAACTCAAAAAGCACGATGGATGGTGCCTGTGCTGGCATCGGCTGTTGTCGTCTCGACATCCCACCGGGCCTCACCGACAACAGAATGAACTTCGATGTGTACACCCACAAAAAAAGGCTGGGCTTCAGCCCCTGCGACTATGCCTTCCTGGTGGACAGGGACAACTACACGTTCCACACAGCTGACCTGAAGATGGAAACCAACACCATGATGCCTGTGTGGCTGGATTGGGCCATCCGTGACAACATGACGTGTGATGACACAAAGAGGGCAGAGAGCTATGCTTGTGTGAGCGCCAACAGTGAGTGTCATGACTCCTCCAATGGGTTTGGGTATGTCTGCAACTGCAGCATCGGCTACGAAGGGAACCCCTATATTGCAAACGGTTGCACCGGTAAGTGTGTTCACGCACACTTCTTCTCTTTTACTTGATCGTCCAGAAGGTTGCAGTGTTTAATTTTGGAGGACAAATTCTTGTATTATTTTTGAATTCCAATATCAAGTTGCAACTTTAATTTTGTCCTGAATAAATTGTTTCTTATTTTGTTCACATTTTCCACATCATTTTATTGGTAATAATAGTCCAGTATATAGCACTTATATACATGAAAACATATGTTGCAATTCAAGTTGGCTTTCCATATGGATAGTTTTCCATTGTTCTAATACATGAAGTTGGTAAACAATGCAGATATCAATGAGTGTGAAAGTCAACAAGAGTATCGATGCAGAGGTGTTTGCCGGAATACACTGGGATCCTACGAATGCAAATGCCCCAGTGGTTCCCACAGTGCTGATCCGTTTAATGATCCTTGCAACCCCAATTTTCCGCTTGCAGCAAAAGTCACCATCGGTACATATGATCCATATTTCATCTCCTGGTCCACTCTTTATGTGTATATAAATTCTTGATATATATGAATATTGAATACTTTTACATCATTGTTCCAACAGATAGCATGGTATTTTAGGATAATGACATCATCGAAAGACCTACCCACGTAATGCTTTATTTAGAAATTTGGATAATAACAGTACATCCACTGCACAAATTACGATTGTTTAGAAGATTTTATTGGTTTTTATAGGCCTGGTTTCTTTGTTGTTTATGTAGGTGCAATAGGTGGACTTTTTATCATAGCAGTTGCAGTGTTTGCCAGTCTTCTTGCCAAAGAGAAAAGAAAGATGAAAGATTATTTTAGAAAGAATGGGGGTCCTATAATAGAAGAAGTTAACAAGATTAAGCTCTTCAAGAAGAAGGAGCTGGAGCAAACACTTAAAAGTAGTAATCGTATTGGACAAGGTGGCTTCGGTGAGGTTTACAAGGGATATCTTAGAGATGAAACTCAGCCAGTAGCTGTCAAGAAGCCCAAGATTGATGTTAAATTAGCAGGCCAATTTGCAAACGAAGTTATTATTCAATCTCGAGTCTTGCACAAGAACATTGTTAAGCTCATAGGGTGTTGCCTAGAAGTTGATGTTCCAATTTTGGTTTATGAGTATGTGCCCAATGGTAGCCTCGACAGAATTCTGCATGACAGCAACAGGGTGCCTCTCAACTTGTATCTACGTCTACAAATTGCTGCACAATCGGCAAAGGGTCTAGCTTACATGCATTCAGAAATCACTACACCAATTCTTCATGGCGATGTTAAACCAGCTAATATACTTTTAGATGAGGACTTTGTACCAAAGATCTCCGACTTCGGTACATCTAGGATGATTACCGTTGATGAAAATTACGCCAGCACTATCATTGGTAACTGGGGCTACATGGATCCAGAATATGTGCTGACAGGCCTATACACGAGTAAAAGTGACGTCT